GGCTCCTTCCATGCAGAATGCCCCATCTTCTGTAAGATGAAAATCATATTAACAGTGAGACAAACAATAATACAACTCCCTTTTCAAAAATAGTACAAGTTTCATTTTTGTAACATTGTATTATTTTTGCAGATATGTAAATTATAAAATGTCTATAATAAGGCCACTTACTTGGCTCTTGTACAGGGCCTTGCTCCGTGAAGAATGAACCATCTGCTGTAAGATGAAAATTATATCAACAGTGAGAGACGACAAAACAAAAATAATACAAGTCCCATTTTTGTAACATTGTAAATTATAAAATGTCCATTATGATAATAACTTTTCTTACTTGGCTCATGTACAGGGCCATATTCCACACAGAATGAATCATCCCCTGTAAGATGAAAGCATACAAGTATCACCAGTGAGATGAGTAAAAAAAAACCACCAAGGTCATAAAGGTGGCTATCTTACCACTAACATCAATGTAAATGTATAAGGTGATCTACTGAGAGAAGGGGCAATATGCCCAAACAAAACAGTTTATTTAATGAGTACTACATATGATAATATCAACCCATGAATCTATTTTCAGCCTGATGGCACAATATTAAATCTCCTCCTGTTGCTGGTAGTGTTTCAAGTCCTTCAATCATCTCTTCTCGTCAGTAGGCCGATAACAGCTGCTGTTGGTGCTCTCAATCCAAAACTGTCTATTAATTTGCACCATCGCCTTGGCTGATATCAAGCTTTTCCACCCAGCCTTGTTTCTTTCTTTCTTCACAGTCTTTCTCCAAGTGGTGTATCAAGCCCTTTTCACAATTAACTTTTCTCATACACATCACTAATACTCATAATCCAACACGTTACAAGACAATTTTGACAATTTACAAGGATAATTTTGTTTTTCTGTCCAAAAATGACTCACGTCCATACTGGATTACACTGTAATGCAAATAAGAAAAGTTAATTTTGGAAAGGGCTACCAAGCACAATCTGAAAAGACCAGATGTACACTCAACAACCAATGCAGCTCCTCTTACCTCTTTCTGCATTGCCAAGTAAAGGGATATCAAGTTTCTCCAGAAGATCAAAACGTTGAATTCCTCTGAGTAACTCTCTTACATAGGTACAAGACAATACTCCACTGGCATCCAATTCTTTGAACAGCTCAACACCTTCTCTGATTTTGGCAAGTCGAAAAGCATTCACTCTGCGTTTGGCCAAGAACTTCATCTGCCTCATCTCAGCATCTGACAAGGAGTTTGAGATTTCCAATAGTCTTTGTTGGAGTGAAAAACCTGACCAAGAGAAGTAAGCATAAATTACAACACACACATGAACATGAACATGTTAGGAACTAAACCTTATGAAAAATCTATCAGTATGTTGCAAAGTAAAACTTAATGTGTGTTAAAATATGCATATTAAGTGAATTGTAGGGTACTTCAGTAGACTAGTTTCGTATTCTCAGTACTGGACTGGAACTAGCTTGCAACCGAGGCTAATGCAGGGAGTCTTTTCAAATGCAAATGACATTAATCTCTTCTTAATGATATTTCCCCGCATGAGCCTCCATTGCAAGCTAGTTCCAGTCCAATACCGAGAATACGAAAATGGCCTATTGGTAATCTCACTATGTAAAATGAAGTGCCTACAAGGGCCAATCTACATGTACAATAATACACAATTTTGCTTGCAAATGTTTATTTGTTATGCTAACAACATGACTCAGGTCCTGTTAACACCTGTCCCAGGAATCATATTTATTTTAATAAAAAAAAGATATAGACTTGATTTAAATGAAACAATATTTGTTCTGCAAGCATGTTCCATGTGAAAAAGGAAGCAAAAATCTTAGGATCAAAATTGGCCTTAATGTTGATTTAGCTTACGTGGCTCTTGTAGAGGTCCTGCCCCACCAAGCAGTTTTCCTTCCATATCAGTAAAATCNCAAAAATCTTAGGATCAAAATTGGCCTTAATGTTGATTTAGCTTACGTGGCTCTTGTAGAGGTCCTGCCCCACCAAGCAGTTTTCCTTCCATATCAGTAAAATCGTAAGATGTACTACTACTGGCTGAACAAGATTTGCTCTGCTCATTGGCATGGGTCCTGGATGATCCAAAAGCTTTTTCATTGCGCTTCTGTTTATCCTCGAGGAATGATCTTCTTCCCAACTCTAATTCAAGCTGTTGTTTCTCTTCCTCACATTGTTGGAACTGTTCCTTCAGCTGACCCAATTGTTGCCTTAGCTCATGGCACTGATTCTGACAAAATTCAACCTCACTCTTAAGAATTAAAATGTCCTCTTTACTTAATTGAGTACCGTCTTCTAACTGCACAGTTTCTCTTGTTTCTGAATCCTGATTGTTCTCTCCTGAAGATACACCTTCTTCATGACTTGATCTCGTTGCAGAAGATGCCCCAACAGAGTTGCCTCCAACAGATTGGTTTGATAGCTTCTCTTGCAATTTCAAAGGTAATTCATTGCAAACTGCACAAGCCGTGGATGTCCTCCCTATCATATCATCATTGTTGGAAGCCTTTTTCTCATCACATGGTTCTGCTGCTGCTTTGCTCAAAGATAACGACATGTTCTGTAAAAACGCAGGCATCTCACACACTTTATCCGATGGGCTGGCAGGAACTGAGTTCAGTGATGACATGGGGCCAGGTGATAACATAGAGTTGTTAAGCTGCTTCTCATCATCCAAATAGGCTGAAAGAGTCGAAGAAGACATTTCACCAGTGCCTGATGGTCGTACCTCTGATGATACATGACTGCTAGTCAAGAGGCATGCCAGAAGGCCCAAACAAACCTCAGCGCTAATCTTGTCACCAGGTTGGCCAGTGAATAGGATGTCTTCTTCCACCTGTTAAAACAAAGCACTGCTTTAATGAATCAAATACATTTACAATATACACTGCAGTAATTTTCTGACGTCTTTCGTTAGTGCAACATACAGAAATGCAACACCTAAGATTTAATGACACACCCTGTAACATGCCCATTCCGTAAGGTTGCATCTCAACAAGGTAACACCATGTTGAACATGTTGAAGATTGTACCTTGCATAAGCCTCTTCATGACCACAAGTAAGCGGATAGAAAGCCTTCCCAGAGTTTGCTAGGTCTTGTGTTAAAATGTCAAGGACTCAGATTTTTTTAAATATCCCACGCTTGTGACATGTCAAACATTCCTTTTTTTATTTTATTACTGAACTGAACATCTGAACATCAACTCAACATTGCTGATCCTAGTACAGTGTATGACACATGTTAATGAGAACCTGGTACAGCTGTATATGATCTTGAACACTAGAGTCTAACCATGGTTACTGAGTGAAAGGTTACCTCATTCTGTGGCAAGTCTGCAGGTGGTTTTCCCTCCAGATGATTGCATTCAGGTTCATGGCTACTTACATCTCCGTGTACTTCCAAAGTTTCCGAATATTGACCAGAACTAGACGGCTTCTTTGCTGACTCTTTTAAGTACTTATAGTCAACATCATGATCATCACAAACCAACTGCAAAGATTGCTCAAAGGTAACCCTGACAACACAACACAATGAGTCCATTGTGCTCTCTAACGTGTTCTTCACTAACGAACAGATGCAATTCAACTCGTACTCTTTGACAGTCCGGCATTTTACTAGGACAGATTCTTCTTCCACAACAAGAGATAAAGAGGAATTACTAGGCTCCAGAATAAAGAAACATTCTCCATTCTGCACAGCAGAAGCATTAGAAATTTCAACACCTTCCACCTTGGCTAGTGCCAATGACTGCCTTAAACCACAAATCAAATTATCAAAAACAAACTCAGCCTGGCGCTGACTTGAAAATCTATACAAAAAGTAGGAGACATNGTAGGCAACATCTTTAAGTTCTTCACCTTGTATTTTCTCACCATTCTGTTCTTTCAGCTGCAAAGCCATCAACCTCTTCATCAAGGTTATTGTGGAGACTTCATTCGCACCAGTGATGTCATACAATACACCAATCTGCAGAATATCTTGACATCTCTTGTAGTTTCCAAATTCTTGAAACAAATCAGCAACTCTTCTTAAGACCTTCCATGGCAGATGAACATCTCTTGTCATTCTCATGGAGATATCATGGCACAAGGAGGCTGCAGAATCACAGCAAGACCAGGCATTTTCATCATTTCCAACAAGCTTGTGGAGAATTGCCAAGTTCAAACAGGCAACAGCATTTCCCAAACGGTCATGTTCACATTCAAAGCAATTCTTGGCTCTAGCAAAGCAAGTCTCACTTTTCTTGTACTCCATCCTCTCACTGAACATCACTCCAAGGTTACTCATCAGATAACCAACACCAGCATGGTGTTGATACTGGTCTACTATTTCTTCTAAACAAGCCATGTCACCTTTTTCATAAGCAAGTGCAATTAGAGCAGAGAGGATGTCCAGCTCATTTACATTATCATTTTGGGAAGTAAGAATACATGTAACAAACATGCCTTGCTGATCATTCCAGGGTTTCAGAATACTATGGTAAACATAGCTTTGTATGGATTTTAAGTACTTTTGATCCTTGTCTAGGCCACAGATTACAGCGAGTATGTTAGGGGGCTTTTGAAAATTGCTAGCTCCTTCCAAAACCTCCTTGCTGAGTAAAATAGTCTTAATCGTCTCAAGGAAGTCCAAGCAAGTACTTGTGCTGATGCCTTTTTCGGACAAAACAATTACTGATTTGCTAATGTCAGACATCCTTCTCGTCTGTAAAACATGGGAAACAGTGTAAATGCAGGCAAGAAAAAAAGAGTAACAAAGAGAAAATACAGTAATATTTACATTCAGCATAATTTCCAGAGGTGAATATAAGAATTGGACATTCTGATTGGTCAAAAGCTCGCCATATGATGCTTTATTCACCCTACAAGACCCTGGTTACTAAGCTCGTAGCCTTTCCCCATCTCAGCACGTAAACATGGCAGACAAAAGCTGAATGAAATTTTCACTTATTCCAAAGACATCACTCCAAGTCCAGGATATTTGAAAGGATGGAGCATTTTCAAATTGACTGCTGTCACCTTTGCACCCACAATCTTTTCAAGAGCTCGTATTCAAGGCATTTAAGAATCCTAAAAGCAGTGGTTACGTTGATCGCCAGCAGGTCAGATCAATCGACTGAAATATATTTTTCTTCAAACTAAAGCTACTCATTTTTAGACAATGATGACAACTGTGAATGAAGTGAGCAACAATATTTAAAACAAAGGTACTGGATGAATTTATTTTTTGTAGTGTTTCGTTTGTTCGTTTTATTGCCAAACTCGATGAATAAATTGATGCACAATTGATGTACATGTAAGCGTGTTATTAAGACTACAGCTGCATACATGTTTTAGTCCGTTATTTTGTAGCCCTTAATATTCACCTCTGAAAATTATACTAAAACAATTATCCACCTCAGGCTCAGTGAACATTGGTGAATATTCACCTTGACTTCGTCTCAGTGAATATTAACCAATGTTCACTTCACCTTCGGCAAATAATTGTTAAGTAACAATCAGAAAATGCAGATACTTTAAGTAAAGCAGCAAATAAATGTATTGTACAATGTATATGAATACAAATTAAACACCATGACAACAGAAAGCAGCAATTTTCATGAGCCAGAAGTTAATCAAGACAGACTGTGTTTATATGTTTATAAAACCTTGTGTGCATGTACAAATCAGAGAAAGATATGTTAAGGCATAGACACCTTCAAGTACATGTATGTATCTTACCTAGTTAAGATATCCCAGAAGTTGAACTACATTGTACTCCTTTGACTACCAAACAGACTGGGATAACTAAAGCTGTCAGTGGTCTGTTGAATGGTCTTCACCAAAAAGTTTCACTCTGATCTCAAGTATACAAAATTATGATATTTGTGAACTGTAAATGATGTCCTAGAGAAGAGAATGGTGCACATGATCAGTTGTACTGTATTTAAAAAAAACACACATTCTCAGGGCTCGAGACTAACGGTAGCCACCTAGCCACAGACTAGTAAAAATTCCATTTTGGCTAGTGGTTTTTGCATTTCACTAGCCATTTTGGCTAGTGAAACTGAAAATTTGTGAGCACTGGAGGCCCAGAGGAAACCAATTAAAAGTTAATTTCAAATTTTTCATAAAACGAAATTGAGTAAAAGCATGCAGAATTTAAAACATCAGCTGTAACAAATATCATGTATCATTTATTGGCCCAAACAACAACTTTAAATTACTATAATGCAAAAGAATGATTGACTTTTTTGTTTGTTTGTAAAAAGCGATGAACGACAAACGAACTGCTTGCCGCTAATGATTAGTCATGTGTGAAATCATACGGAACTCTTGGGATCATGTTGCATGTGCACAGCATCTGGAAGTCACGTACGCTTTCAAAAAATAAAAAAAAATTGCGTTTGTTCGAAAATTTGAATGATGCCTATATAATATTGATGCCTATGTTTGCTACTTGTAAATAAAGTTAAGATGGAACAAATTGTTGTGTTCATGAGAAATCGTGAATCAGCATTTTGAAAGAAAGGATGTTTTTTAGCGGCGAGTTGCGAAGTTCTGTGAGAATTTCTCATGGATGGCATGTCTAAAACACAGGTCACGGGTCACAGGTTATTATCGGTTTTACCAATACTGAAACAACCTTAAACCTTTACTAATACTAACCTTGAGACTAACCATTGTCTTAGTGTAGTATTCAGGCCTAAGGTTAGCACTAGGAAGGGGTTAGGGTTGTTCCAGTATTCAGTATTGGTAAAACAATGACCTGTGATCTGTGTTTTAGACCCGCCATCTCACGGAAGCAAAAACTTTGGTTTTCATTAGTGAGAGAGCAGCTGCAATCGAGCCTAACTGTTGAGCGACGCCTGTAATTATAACATTGATGCCTATGTTTGCAAATGTCTGTGTCTGGCTAGTGACAAATTTGTTTTGGCTGGTGAATCAACCCTGTCACTAGCCACTGGGCTAGCGAGCAGAAAAGTTAGTCTCGAGCCGTGCATTCTGGAGGGAGCAAATGTATATGTAGGCAGTTAACGTGACAAGCAAGACATGCATAAATACAAAAATTTCACTCCACAAATCTCTTAGACCACCGTTAATTTTGAGAGCTGTACTTGAAAGAATAAAACAAGAGGGAAATTTCAAAGTTGTCTGCTCTATTTTAATGTAAAGGGGAGGTGGTTCCTAATGGAGTGTAAACAACCATCTATAATTTTAAAGAGACAAATTATAATTGCAGTTATCTGCACACAATGTGCAGTTGTGAAAATGAAGTCCAAAACAAATTCAGTCCTCTGCAATACCAATGCAGTGCTCTACCAATTGAGCTATCAAGCCAACTGGGAGCCAGTCACATTGCGAGTTTGTAATTTACCTGTAGATTGTGAAGAATTTGTTCAGGTTTATTTCACAACACCACTTTTAAGTTATGTACACAACTGTGATGATCATTCATGTCTTTACATCATCCCCCAAAATTCAAAGTTAAGATCTTTCATAACTATATTCACTTGCCACCTATACCTATCAGTGGCAGATCTAGGGGAGGGGCCCAGGGGGCCTGCACCCCCCTCCCCCTTATGTTGGGTAAGAAAAGAAGAAATCACGGAAGGAAGA